TCTTCCGTCCAACCGATCAGCAAGACACAGTTATCATGACACAGATATAATTTCCAAATTTCACCATCCATGGGATTTGAACACTAGACCTGCCACTTGGGGGTTGACAACCTGTCCACTTCACTAAGTCGCCACACCTCTAAAAAAATTATTTATAAATTTTTGGCAAACTTTTTAAATATTAATTTTAAACATATAGTTTTTAATACAAAATTTTAGTTTATATAAAGAATTTTTTATTTTTTTTTTAATGTTAAAAAAGGTTATGCTTTTTAGTCTTTATTAGTATATTATATTATAACTGGTACAATTTTATATTATACATTATCTATTATTAAATATTTATTCAAATATAAAACTTAGACACAATTATTTGCAACCTAAACCTACCAGAGCTTTGTATTGTATCTTACTCATATTTAATCTAAATTTTTGTTTTATTACTAATTATATTAAGTTATCTGTATATTCTTTTATGTTTTACAACCTATTTTAACAATTTTCAAATTGGTTCATCAGGTTGTTTATACTTTTTGAGCTCTTATTTTTGGTTTGCTTAAAAGGTGCCTCTCTAAATATATCTTAAGCCAAAACTTTGCTGCTACTGCTAACTTCTCAATTTAGATACTAGTAGAAGGGTGTGGCGACTTAGTGAAGTGAATAAGTTGTCAACCCTCCAAGTGGTAGGTTGTGAGTTCAAAACCCACCGACAGCAAAAAATTTGAATAATCACCTATGTAATACTTATAGTATTACAGCGACAGCATTCTGTCGATTAGTTGGGATAGGATATCTGTAACTATGGTCGCACAAGCATGACTGGCAGGTCAAGGGGCATTTGTGTAACAGTCACATAACACCTTGTCCTTAGGGACAAGGTCTGTGGTTACACAAAGGAATGCAAACCGGTACCGGGCAGTGCAAACCTAAGATAAGTCCTTGTGGCTGTGTAAATCTGTAGAACTGAGCCCACTTGGGAAGACCTGAGTAGAGAGGTAACACAGATCTTTAACAGTATCACTGTAAAGGCTAGACCAAGGAAACAGATACCAATGTGGAGAAATTGGGCAGGCAAGAACCTCTGGGTGAGGGGTACCACCAACTAGGCTGCTAGGTCGAACTGGAGGAAAAGGATATTAGGCCGGACTTAATATACCAGGGACAGGTCACAGTCCTTCCGAGCTATCTGAATTGGGAGTCTAAGATCAGAAGCAAGGGTATACTAAAAGTACTAGGGATATGCTGTGAAGTAGGTACTGGGGTACGGGTGAACTCTGCAAGGGCAAGCTCTGTTAATGTTCTGCAAAATGGGTCAGATAGTTAAAAAGGAGGCTCCCTGAGCCTTACAGTCAGGTGACGTGCTCTGAAATTGGGTAACGGCTTGACAGATGTACAGAAAGGGAGGCTTAATGTTAGGTTAGACGGCATTAATTGTACGGGAACCGAGGTGACTAATTGTTTGAGTGCAGTATAGGAATCAGAGTGTTTAATTAGATAGTCTCCTAGTAAATTATAGGTATGGCAGCTAGTGTAGAACCTTCGGGTGGACTACTTAAATTAGGTAAGCAAAAGTTACACATGTGGCTAGTTGCACACTTACCCTGTACAAGTAATACATAATGTATTAACAAAAAACAAAAAAAAAGGCATTAGCTGTCGTTAAAATCGGCCTTAATAAAAAAAATAAAAAAAAAAAAAAAAAAAAAAAAAAAGATACTAGTAGCATATATTTTAAGCTAGGTTCCTGCTATCACTACTAGTTTGCAACTCTTCTTGATCTTAATATAATTTTAACTGATTGTGCATCTAATCTGTCTCTTAAGTACTCCTTTTTATAATATAGATAGAACTATCTTTTGAGAGATTACCCTCTTTTAGCCATTGGCCATTATAATAGTATATTACTTGCTATTACCTGATGCTATAGGTTTTTTCTATTATATTGCTAGCCTTAGACACTTTGTTATTTAAAAACTATCTAATCTAAATCTATATTTAGAGAATACAAATTGCTAACTTTTTCTGATGATCACTTGTACCAAAATTCTGCTAAAGAAATTTTAATTTTCTTTACTAATTTATAATTAAATATATTTTTTAAACTAAATAAATCTGTTTTTTATTTTAATTTACATATACATACAAAATTTTATATTTTTAACTTAAATATTAAATAAATTAAATAACTATTTGTTAAAACACTTTAAAACTACTTATACTCAAATTCAGCCTAGAAAACTTGTCTTGTGCATTAAGACAAAGTTGTCCAGCTCACCTCTAACTTTATTTTGATATAAGTTTTATCAAAAATGACAAAAAATTAGTTATTTTATAAGCAAAAAACTCCAAATAGCTAATTTTCTAAAAATTTTCTAAAAATTTGTTCTTTTCTCTTTACCTCTCCAAATCTAGACCTCAAATACGTTTTAAAACACCATTTTTTAGTGGTTCAATCAATTAACTATTATCTTATAACTATTTTCTTTTTAGTTCTTAATTAATTAACATAAAAGCAAATAATTACAAATTTGTACTTATTTTAAAATTACACAATCTTGTGTATACTCTATATTATTTTTAGCAGGAGTTATATAAGCCCTATATTATACCACAAGCCACACCAGTCATCAGTCACACTAGTTACAAAAAGTAATACAAAGAGTGTAATATTACATGAACTAAAAATTATTTCTTTGAAGCTATTATCAATTTCTTTAATATTATTATAATAATATCAAGCCAAAATGCCTACCCTTAATCACTAATAAACCTGATTTTCATAATTTAGACTATTATTATAATAAATATCTTGATTGTTTTGGCATTGATATCAAAGAAACTAATCTACTCATTTTATGTATCTTATTTAAAGATGTTAATCCTACAAAATATGAATCTAATAAGTAACAATATTACTTCAAAATGCTATTCTAAACTATATTGTCTACCTATCTCTGCAACAAATATCATACCAATTTTATCTCTAAACATTACAAAATTATACATACTACACCTTCTCAACAATCTTCTGGCTAAAGTGCAATGAATATTTCTCCAACTACAATGATTTCTAAAAATCACTTCAACAACATTGTCGATAAACTATCTAACTCTCCTATTACTAAACAACAATAACAAAATCTTCTATTTATCTCTCAAATTTTACCATCTTCCTTCTATACAGACCCATCATCTGTGGCAATTATTCTATACTCTCAACATTATTATTTATGCACTCTATACAAAAAGAAAGATATTTATATATTCTTATTTAAAAAACATGACATGCACCTAACTACTCTACAGCTGTAATCTTTAAAGGCTTTTTATTTCACTAAGATTGTGTTTACAGTCTTCAATATACTAAACTCAAACCTCTTCCTCAAACCCAAGAACTTACCAAAGAACAACATTTTATTTATTATCTCTTCTACTTCTACAAACTTACCAAAGAAGAAAAAATTAATTTTCTTCAAAAACTTGCTTTTAGAGAAAAAGAAAAGAAACAAAATTCTAAACAAACAAACCAAATCTAACAACAAAAAAATACTACTAATCAACTCAGAGATATTACTAATGATCTAGACTGGTTTTTTAACTACCTAATTACTAAAAATATAGAACCAAATACAAAACTTAATATATCACTTGCTTAATAACTTTTCAACTTCTCAAAAATTCACCTTCACAAATTTACTTCTGGCCAGCCAATTTTTTCTATTCCAAATAGTACTCAACCAATCACAAACCAAAAATCTTCTCAAAAACAAAGCTTTAATTATTTACTTAAAATAATAGTTGCTAAAAAGCCAGAATTTCTTACAGACTTCCTTCATCAATCTAATTCATTACTCTTACCTCAACTTAATCTTCCACAATATGCTTATATCTCAATACTTAAAAATCTATTTACCAAATTTACTGAACTTCTTTTTACCAAACTTAACTATTTACACATCTTTCATTCTCATAACTCAATCTTATCTTATCTAATCTCTAATCATTATAAAGTAGCAATTAACTTTGCTCAACTATACTTATTTCTTCATAACAAATATCA